GATGGGGGTTTATATCCCCAATAGGCAAAGAAATCATACAACTCATCATCAAAAAACAAATGTGTGTTGAGGTATGACAGAAAACAACAAAATTCTGTAAAGCAATTATTCTTCAATAAAAAATAAATAACAATTTTTAAATGTGTATAGGACCTGAAGAGACATTTTTCCAAAGAAGACAAGGTCATCAGACACATGAAAAGATAGTCAACATCATTAATCATCAGGAAAATGAAAATCAAATGAAAATCAAATGAAAATCAAAACCACCTGTGAGAATGGTTATCATCAAAAAGACAGCAAATAACAAGTGTTGGCAAGGATGTGGAGAAAAGGGAACCTTCATGCACTATTCATGGGAATGTAAATTGGTGCAGCCACTATAGAAAACAGGATGGGTGTTTCCCAAAAAACTAAAAATAGAACTACCACATGATCCAGCAGTTCCATTCCTGGGTATTTAGCCAAAGGAAATAAACACCAATTTGAAAAGTTATATGCACTCCTATGTTCACTGCAATACTAATTACAATAGCCAAAATATAGGAACAACCTAAGAGTCCATCAATAGATTAATGAATAAAGAAGATATGGTATGTCTATGCAATGGAATACTACACCACCATAAGAAAAGAATGAAATTGTGCAATTTGTGGCAATATGGCTGGACCTCAAGGGTATTATGCTAGGTAAAATAAGTCAAACAGAGAATATAAAATCAAAATAAATGAACAAACATAACAAATAGAAACAGACTCAAGGATATAGAGAGCAAACAAGTGGTTGCCAAAGGGGAGTGCAGAGGAGGGATGAGTGAAATAGGAGAGGGAAATTAAAGAGGTACAAAGTTCACGTTTAAAAGAAATGAGTCACAGGAATGAAAAGTACAGCATGGGGAACATAGTCAGGAATATTGTAACAAATTTGTATAGTGACAGATGGCAACCAGACTTGCAGAGATCATGGTAATGCATGAAAATAATGAATCATTGTGTTGTATACCTGGAGCTGACAATGTGGGTCAGTTGTTGTTGTTGACAGTGTTGTAGGTCAATTATACTTAAATAAATAAATATTTTTTTAAATTACTGGGGAGAAATAAGCCAAAGTTTTATAATGTCTGTTCATAGATAAAGGCATCATGGTTGTTTTCTTCTTTATATTTTTATATATGCCTCATATTCTCTCTAAGAGAGAATTTAAAGAATTAAGAGAATTCTCTAAGAAAATCTGTATAGGATTTTAGTCTTAAATAAAAAACATTTTTAAAGGCTTCAAAAAAATAAGGGAGGATTGTGCCCATTCATGGGCTCTGTGTTTTAAAAGAGATGCTAACAACCTTGAGCTTATCTAGGCGAGATTCACTGGGATCTGAGGAGCCCTAAGGATCCAAGATGAAGGGACAAACATTCAGCAGAAAAAAATTCAGGGAGGACTTTTAGCTCCCTCCACTTAGTGGAATGCCTGGTGTGTAAAAGATGCTTCTTCTCTGAGGTCCCAAGACTAAGCCAGGAGCTAATGAACACAAGTTACAGGATAAAAGACTATAGCTTCATGTAAGGAAGGGCTCCCCAACCACTGGACACCAAGCATATATTGAACAAGCTACCTGATGTGGTAATAAGCTCCCTATCGCTAAAGGCAACCAACATGGGCCAGGTCAATGGTTATTTAGGATGTTGTAGTTTGTGTGCTATCGAATTCAGAAGCAACACAGTCATGGCTGAGAGGTAGCATAATGCAGGGTTTAAGAATGCAGGCTCTGAAGGCTATACCATGCTCACCCCCTGGAACCTGGCTAAGCCACAGAGAGGCTGTGCGTAGGTGTGTTGGCCACCATCCCAGGTGAGGCATCAGTTGCCTGCTAACATCAACCTCTAGGCATGTGACTAGGTGAGCCTTCAGACAATTCCAGTCCTTCAAGTTTTGAATCATCACATTTGATACCAACTGGAGTAGATATAAGATGCTCTACCAAACTTTGCCCAAATGACAGATTCACAAGCAAAATAAACGTTGCCATTTTAAACCACTAAATCTGGGAATAGTTGCATATCACTGAATAACTGGAACGCAATGTTTATGTAATGTTCTGAATTGCCATTGATCTTCAAGGCCACTTAACAGGTGCTGAGTCAAGTAAAAGGAGGTATTATTTTCAGAAAGGGAATTGGGTGCCTTGGGCTAATGAGAGCAGAGAAGGTTGGTGAAACAGTTGGGAGAATATGAAAGAGGATTTTGGGCAGCACAGTGAAGGCTAGATCCATGGATTTGTAATACCCTCCCTCCCCTACATGGTTTTGTGATTTTCTAAGTCTTCTGGAGAAAGTAGGTGCTGGATCCTGGCATGAAGGTGGAAGAGACACTGGAGGTCTGTGGATGGCAGGCACAGAAGGACTGGTGGTAGGCTTGGGAAACACACCACCCAAGGAAACAGAACAGAGTTGCATACTATCCCCTGTTGGTATGCAAAAGAATTGTTTTCTAGATAAGGAAATCAGGATCAGGCACTTGGAAAACAACTAAGTACAAATTGTTCAGTAGGGACAGTACAAATGAATTACAGAGAGAAAAGACTAGGTTTAGTGAGAAGACTATGAAAGGGTGATGAATCCAAAAAAGATTTCTTGATAGCGAAGACCAGAAAAATTGAGACAGCATGGCTCTTTCTGTGTCTAAGAAGAGGAACAATAAGGCAGTTCTTAATGGTTAGAGCATGGAATCATGTTGGAAATTCTATCAGCAACACTATAAATGACAGTTCTCTCATTTTTTTAAAGCAGAAAATTACAGTGGGCACTCAGAAGAAGGAAACAAGGGTGAGTGACCAATTCCCTAGTGATCAGAGTATGATAATGTCAGGATAGCCAAGGTCTACTTCCCTGGTGCTGTGAATAGAGCAGAGAGGAAGCAGACAAGAGAAGATACTAGCAGGCTATTATTTGTCTGCCTCATTACTTTTCAGGCTATAGTAAGAGTATTTAGAAATTAGGAAGAAATGATGTCAACATGGGCTGAAATCGTCTGAACAGCAATCTCTGACTAGGCAAACTGCAGTGCTTACCCTGTTTATTTCTCCTCCTGCTCATTTCCTGACGTGCACAGCTTCAGTTCAGTTCTGTTCAGTTGCTCAGTAGTGTCTGAGTCTTTGTGACCCCCATGAACTGCAGCACGCCAGGCTTCCCTGTCTATCACCAACTCCTGGAGCTTGCTCAAACTCATGTCCATTGAGTCGGTCGGTGATGCCATCAGTTATCCTCCCTAGAAAAGAACAAAAAAAGCAATTTCAGCTTCTAGGGTGGAAGAGGACAGTATTAATTACAATGAAGTTTGACAGACCAGAAGCCTCCCCAGGTCCACTCAAACCTTTTAAAGCTTTTACGCCCCCTGTAGAATATCACAAGTCAATGAATATCACACCATAAAAGAGGGAAGAAGCTTATTTGGGAAGTGGTAATTGCTCAGGACTGGCCCGTGTCTGAATGTGTCTCTCCTTACCCCTGGTTGTCTAAATCAGATCTTCTAAGCTGTCGGGAATGTTTTGCTTTGTTTTTTTGCTCTTTTCAGAAGAAGCTGCCAAAATGACAGTTAGCTTGGAAGTTGTACTTGGGGCATTTAATTGGTCTTAAATTAAAAAGAAAGACAGCAGTGTGGTTTTAATTCTGACATTTATTATAACAGATAAGGATTCTAGAAAAAATAATGTCAAGTCTAGGTGAAATTGGTAGGCTGTGAGATGGACTCAGAGGAATTTTTCATTTCTTAAAAAGGGAAAGGGAACCATGTTCCTGATGCAACTTAACTTGGCTCTCAGTATAGGGTCTGGAGCCAAATCTGTCATTAACATCAAAGACAGTCCCATGCCTGTGATATGCAGCCCTGGTGCACCCCTCCAGATGTCAGGTCCTCCTTCTCCCTACTGTCTAGCAGTTAGAGTTAAGTCGATATATCTTAGAATCAGGAACTGGAGGGGGTGTTCAAAGATCATCTAGGTAATTTCTCTGCTTTCAGGGAGGAGTAAAACAAAACCATTCTATATGTGTTAAACATCCCTTGTTTGTAAATCATATTTCTTTGAAGGACTTCACAAATGAGCCCCAAGGGAGCTATTTAGAATTAATTCGTCACTATCAGGAAATGGTTGATGTGCATCCTCTCTTATTTCAGGTTCAGACTTCCCTTCTCATCCTTTTGTGAAGAGACACCGTAGTTGGTTATTATCATCCTGATAAGGAGCCTTCCTATTCTTCGTCTCTTGTTCCTTGAATACATTTGTTTCTGAAAACTTTTTTCACATACCCTCAAATCATATCCACTACTTGATGCAGAGTCCTCCCTACAGTTGGTGCTCTTCTTTAATTAAGAAACCCAAACTGTGATCTGTATTCTAGAAAAAGTTTGGCTACTTGACATGCAGGAGCAATGATCTACAATGATCTACATCCAAGAGCAATGATCCTACAGCCCCAGACATTCCTCCAGGACCACACTGGCTCTTTAAACCACAGTGTGAGGATGGCTGATGGTCGTGTATTGTCCTGTCGCTTTCCTACCGAACTTTATGCAACTGTTTCATCTTTCCCAATGACCCTCCTTCACCAAATGTTCCTTTCTTCCCCCACCTTCTACCCTCCCTTCCTCTTGCCCTTTCTTTTTGAAGTATAATTGACATACAACATTATGTTAATAGTTTCAGTTTTATAACATAGTGATTATATATTTATGTAAAATGAAATGATTACCATATTACTCAATTTATAGATTCATTAAAAATTTTAACACTGTGAAGGCCTAACAAAACTCATCCATAATCCAGATGCAGCCTCGGGACCAGCATTTTGCTACCTGTGCACAGTTGGAAGATTATAAGCGGATTTATGCGAGGTCTGTGGCAGCTTGGTTTGTGAATGTGCTTGAAAAATGCTTCTTGTTACTGTGGCTTCCCATTGTCTCTGATGGTGGCCATCTTCACTCACTTGTTGAGTTTCCTCTCATTCCAGGTCCTTGGATGTGGTTCTGTTGCCCAAGCTGTTCTCAGTCGAGGACACTTAGGAGGAGTCATCACTATCAATATTGGATTTCCAATGGCAGTTGTGATGGCCATTTATGTGGCTGCAGGTGTCTCTGGTAAGTACCAGAAACAATGACAACTGCTACTAACTCAGCCATATTCTGGGTGCTTCATACCTTAGCTGTTACAGATCTCAGCAGTCCTACAAGAATATGTCTTTGACTCTATTTTTATAAATGACCAATTTTAAATGGCCAGCAAATAAATGGTAAGTGACTTGCCACTGTGGCAGCCTGTAGCAAGAGACAGAGATGAGGGCTGGAACTCAGAACTGACTGATTCCTACATCCGGCCACTGAATGGTATTCTTTACCTGGCAATACATTCTTTTACAAGCTCCATCTCACGCTTGAAACCACTTCCCAGATATTCTGCGAAGGGCCCTGTGAAGATCACTCCAACAGAGGCAATTCCCTAAACCTTTATCAGAGCAATCACAGAGAGCCCTGGGCCATTTGCAAAGTAGCTGGTGCTTTCATGGAGGTGCAGGGCTAGTCAGCAGGTCTTGGTCCAACCCTGCCCTGAGTGGTAGACTAATTAAAAGTGATTCTCGAGGTTCTGAGAAGCAAAATGAAATGATACTTAATGCAGCCTGGGACCTTAGGAAGGAACTGTGGAAATGATCCACTTCCCAGAGGGTTGCGCAAGCTTCAGCAGCCTTGTCTTGGGGACTCAGAACATTAAGGTAAGACTGTTGGTGATAAGGGAAGAAGGGAACCCCAGTGTGCTGGACACTGTATAGGGTGCTGCATACAATATATCTCCTTTCTCTTCTGTATTATCTCCTCTCTCTTCTACAGCAGCACTCTGAGGCAGGTATTGCTGTCCATTCTACAGAGAAAACTGGAGCCCTGAGGATTTTTGCTTTTTACTTTGGGTTTGTGCTCAGTCATGTCTTTCCAACCCCATGGACTATAGCCCACCAGGCTCCTCTGTCCATGGGATTGCCCAGACAAGAATACTGGAATGGGTTGCCATTTCCTACTCCAAGAGATCTTCTCGACCCAGGGATTGCACCTGTGTCTCTTGTGTGTCCTGCAATGGCAGACGGATTTTTACCACTGTGTCATCTGGGAAGCCCCCAAGGGGTTAAATTAATTGCCAGATATCCCACAGCTGGTAAAAAGGCAAATCAAAGATTTGGCCCGGGTCCACGAGCCAGCAAAGCACAGGTCCCCATTACTAAACAACACTTCCAATGATCTATCATGGGAAAAGCAGTTTAGACAGTGCTGTACAGGTCCAGTCCAGGGCAGGATGGTCCAGGGGAGGGTCCTGCAGGTGAGCTGGCTGGACTGGTGCCAAGCACTGCCGTTGTAGCGCTGAAGAATGACCGCCCAGACCCCCTCAAAACCTCCAGGGACTAGGTGCTTGGAACAATCAGTTGCTGACTGGCAGCCTCTCCATATCATAGGGACACACAGATCCCAAGGCAATCCAGGTTACAGATTCCCATGTATGTGGTTTGTTAAGTAGGAGCAGTATTTCTGTTAAAATTTGTGCCGAGCCTTTGCTATAATCCCAGCACTCTACTGCCTGCCCGAGATGCAAAAATAACCAGGGGGCCACCCTGAATGGGCCAAGGCGTGATGACGGTGCAGGCCTTGACACCGAGGCAGAATACCTTCTTGGCTTCAAACAAGCATGCAGAATGATCCACTGCCTCCCCTCCCCACCATGCCCTCCCAACTACATTCAGACAAGTGTGGTTTCCACAAACCATGCAATATAAATGTAGGCATATTCTCAGCTACTTTTTTAAGGTGGAGATGTGGTTTGGCAGTATTTCACCTACCTAACTCCCTGAATTGAATATCACCAAATATTTACTTAGGATAAATTGGTTCCAGACCTTACCAATGTAGCTAACACTTCACCACCACTGCTGTCAATGTCTGTTTGCATACACTAATATATTTGGAGTTATCATGGGAGGAAAAAGGGCAGAGACCAGCAGGAAGGGAGAAGAGGGAGTGAAAGATGGTGTGAGGTCTTCCCATCTGGCCGTTAGCCTAGGGTTGGTTAAGCCCCTGTGCTCAGAGGGGCTTGTTTTCACCAAACGCTGTTTCTGAGCAAGGCTCGGGAGTTGTCCAATGTGTTTTGGAGAGACTGTGAGATCCCCAAATGCAACAAGAACAGTCTCTGAGCCTGGCTAATAAAAGGCAGCTATTGCTGTTGTTTAGTCACTAGGTCATCTCCAACTCTTTGCAACTAAATGGACTATAGCCTGCCAGGCTCCTCTGTCCATGGAATTCTCCAGGCAAGAATATGAAGTGGGTTGACGTTTCCTTCTCCAGGGGATCTTCCTGACCCAGAGACTGAACCCACGTCTCCTGCGTTGGTGGGCGGATTCTTTGCCACTGAGGCACCTGGGATGGCAGTGTTGTGCTGGGGGAAGGGAGCTTATCTCCCATCTCTGTTTGGAACTAAGCACTATTCAGGTTCCCTGGGAACTGGGGGAAACAGGCACAGATAACACACTGGCCCAAAGATGACATCAGTGCAGACTCAGTATTGGCTCTAACAGCCTGGGAATAGGAGAGGAAGATACCGGGGGTGGGAGGGTGGGGGGGATGGTGAGGGGGAGGTGATTCTCTCATAGTGGTTGCAACTAACATACTGGTTTGTGGACACTTGTGAGGCCCTCTTTGGGAATTCCAAAAATAACCAATGTATATTAGGCATAAACATAAATGGGACCCCACTTTGTGGTCCAGACTGGGAAGGTCAGCTGACCTCTGGTTTTGGAACAGAAAGCGTTACTTCTCTGCACTGGACTCACTTACCCTGCCCCCTTGTGAGCTTGCCAGGAATCTGGCAATCCAGTCTGGTCAATCAGACTGCAATATCTTACAATGTCTTGATTATGCACCATGCCACACTCAGCATTTGCTCTGCTGACTTGTACCTTGACTAGGGCAGCTGTTTCTGATGCAGCATTTTATAGGCAATAAAAATCTCCAGAAAAAAGTAAGATTGCTTAATGAGAGCTAAAATAGTAGGATTATCTCCATCATAGAGTTGTCTGTGGGTGGCAGGGAGAAGGGGACTCATCTAGGACAGAACCCTGAACCGGATCACCTTGCTCATGTAAGACTTTCATCTCAGACCTCCTCCTGGGCTTTGGTTCCACCCCCCTCCCCCCGGGTCTTTGTGTGAATAATCTGACCATCACAACCACTTTGACAGCCAAGATACGAGCGTGGCCCTCTCCAGCAGAACACTCCTGTTTCTTCTGTAGTGCTGCTCTGTTTTGTCTTTCAGGTGAGGGTGAGCCTAGTGATCAGGCATCTCTGCAAAGAGAAACTCTCATTGCTTTGCAAAGCGCCCTCCCAGACACACCCTCTCTGACCCTCAAACAGCTTTCCCTCTGTAGATCTTTGCAGCCTGAGTTATCTCAATAAAGCCCTCTGGCTATTTACATCTCCAACTTTCATATCTTGAACACCTATTAAGTGCCTTATAGTATGTGAAGGTCAAGGTGAATAGTAGTTTTGGCCTCAGAGTGCTTTTGAGAGACTAAAAGCATAAATCTCTTATGCTTTAAACCTACACCAAGTTTTATTTTGGAAGAGGAGCTTGCTAAATAATAACTCTCCTGTTGGTGGACTCATCTCAGGGGAGATATTTTTGATTGGAGGTGATTTCTTATGTCCCCACGTCCTTTCACATTGGATCCCTCCAGGCTGGCTAGGTGGCGGTGACCCTCCAACTGGCCTCTCGAAGAAGAGAAACAGGGCTGGCTCCAGGAACTTCTCCCCTGCCCTATGTGGTCCCCTCTTCTAAGCCCTGTTTCCAGCTTCCTAGTAAGCTATGCTCTTGCCAGCCTCCAGAATTATGACTCTCTTAGATTTAAAAGCAAAACAAAACAGGTGACGCACGTGTAAGTCTTCAGGAAGTCACCTGTGCTTTGATGTATTGGCATTTTCTTGTTTATATGAGCACCCAAGGGGCAGAGTCAGGTGAAGACAGGGCACTCATAGTTTAGCCAGCAGTCAGAATCCCTCCCCACTGCAAGTCCACCTTGGCTTAGAGATTCAGGAGAAGCACAACTTTCTTCCTGGAGGCAATGAGAGGAGGGAGGCTTCCAAAAACAAGCTTATCAGTAGGTTCTGTGTAGAGTCAAATGGCAAAGTGTCATCGTCATCATCACCATCATCATCATTATCACTGCTTTGTTTACAGCTATTTCCATAACCTGGAGGTCCACATTTCAGTGTGGTTACACTGACAGTCACTCTAATCCCCCCAACACACACACTAAATATCTTCTGTACTCTTCACATGTGTGTCCTTCGTCCCTAGGAATCAAGCCCATATGTTCAAAGATGACTTTTGAAAATTTTTTGCCTGCCTTCTAAGGCAGAGAAAACCTTTACAAACTTGGTAAAGAAAACCTAGAAATGTCAAAACATAGAACATAGGCCCTAGAGTTCAAATAGGCTTGGATTTGAATCCAAGACCTACCACTTATTAGCCATGTGACCATAAACTTTTACTTGACTTCTCAGTTTCCCCACCAGTAAACTGGAGTAGGACCCATCTCACCAGTTTCTTAGGAGGATCAAATGGTGTAATTACCCATATGACAGCACCTGGCAAGTGTTCAATACGTGTGGTTGTTGCTGCTACAGCAAAGTCAGCTGGGGATAGCAGTAGCCTGTAACAAGCCCTCTACCTGAACTTGCAAATGGATAAGAATCAAAGAGAATGATTTCTTGAGTCAGAGTTTAGGTTGGAGTGAAGGAAATGTTATTCTATTTCTGTGTGTGAGATATACATTGTCTAGGCAAAGAAACTACAGAGAATCCATTCAGATGTTGTGACCACCTCAGAATAAACTGAGCCCCTTACCTCAGTGAGAAGCACAGCCCACCAAGGGAGGGTCATTAAAGACATGTCTCTTTTTCAGTCCTAATATTATTTCTATATCCTCTGGACACGGACTTAGGAATTACGAATATAGAATTTAATATTCTAATTTATATTTAATATACTAATGTAGAATTTAATATAGAATTAAATCTTCTAAGTATATTATATAAATATATTGATTTTAAAATATACTGAAGCTAACAGTTTACATCAACCTCTTTGGGGTTATTGATTTATAGATAGGCAAAGCCCAGTAGAACAAATTGTGGAAAATTCTCAAAGAGATGGTAATACCAGACCCCCTTACCTGCCTCCTGAGAAATCTGTATGCAGATCAAGAAGCAACAGTTAGAACCAGACATAGAAAAGCAGACTGGTTCCAAATTGAGAAAGGAGTATGTCAAGGCTGTATATTGTCACCCTGCTTATTTAACTTATATGCAGAGTACATCATGCAACATGCTGGACTGGATGAAGCACAAGCTGGAATCAAGATTGCCAGGAGAAATATCAATAACCTCAGATATGCAGATGACACACCACCCTTNCCTGGTGTGCTGCAGTCCATAATGGGTTGCAAAGAGTTAGACACGACTGAGTGACTAAACTGAACTGAAAGCCCAGTAGACAGAGACGATAGATGGACAGAATGATAGACATATAAATAGACAGAGATGGAAAATAAGCCACTTGAGTACAAGTTTCTTTATAAATTTCACTTTGAGAAAGCTAAAGTTCCTGAAAAGTATCTAATGATGCCATGAGGATTAATAGTCCTCTCTTCCTCCCCACTCTCACACACACCCCCTCCCCGTGTCCTCACATATGACTCCTTACCTAGAAGACTGAGTTCTGCCTGCAGTCCCTAGACAAGCTTTTCTTCACAATCGTTCTCCCTGGCCTGCCCTCTGACTTTTTAATCACCTTGTCTTCTTTGCAGGTGGCCACGTCAACCCAGCTGTTTCTTTTGCATTGTGTCTTTTTGGACGGATGAAGTGGTTCAAATTCCCCTTTTATGTGGGGGCCCAGTTCTTGGGAGCCTTTGTAGGGGCTGCAACCCTCTTCGGCATTTACTATGGTGAGTAGGGCCCCTGAGTCCAGAGATTAGGGAGGGCTGGGTCTAAGCTGAAATTTAGGATTACCTGGCAGGAAGAGGTGAGATAAGGAAGAACAGGACACAGTCTATCATACACTTGACAGGCAGTTCTAAGTGTCCTGAATGAAAGTGAAAGTGTTGGCTGCTCAGTTGTGTCCAACTCTTTGTGACCCCATGGACTGTAACCTGCCAGGCTCCTCTGTCCATGGAATTCTCCAGGCAAGAATACTGGAATGGGTTGCCATTCTTTTCTCCAGGGGATCTTTCCAGTCCAGGGATTGAAACTGGGTTTCCTGCATTGCAGGTGGATTCTTCGCCATCTGAGCCATCAGGGAAGCCCTTCTAAGGGTCCTAAGTTCTAATTAACAGGGCCAACATTATTCTCAGGGCACGTTCATGAAGCCTCTTAGTGAAAATGATTACAACTTAAATGAAGGGAAGAACATAAAGGAATTCAACAAGTACTACAGTGTAAACAATGCCAAAGCCAGCAACAGGCCACTGGCTTCTCCAGAGCTTTCTCTGAATTGGCTGGGAGAGAAGTCATTGGCTAGTGGCAAAGGGAATGATGAGTAAGTATTTAGAGAAGGAATTTGGAGCAAAGCCTTTGAGGGAAGGAACACAGCAGAGAAATGGGGTGAGTAGGGAACCCCATCTCCCTTTTGCCCAACAGCCAGGGCTTCCATTTGGCAGCAGTCCTGGGGGAATCAAAGTTCTGACGATGGAAGATCCAGATTTTAGTTCCATGTGAACTAAGTAAGTAGCTGTGTGGCTTCAATAAGTCATCTGACCTTATTGGTCTCAGTTTCCTCCTCTGGAAAATGAGGGAATGAACCAGATGCCTTCAGAACCCCTTCAAACTAAAAAATCTTGGGGTTCCATAAAATCAACTGTTAAAGTAGTTCCTTCTATCTAACCCAAAGTAAATCTCAATAGCTTATATCTCTCAAGCTGGAACACTTAGGAAACTAGAATTTATGAGCCAAGCCTAATAGTGGTACCTGTGGAAAGGCACATTTTTCCACAGACTATCCTAAGAATTAGAGTGCAAGAAAACTGCAGGAGAACTTGAGATCAGACCAGAAACCTGGAGAGTCAGCTGCTGGGTCAGGAGAGGCCTGGGGGTCTGGGACAACCTAGACCACACTGGCTATGTCAGGGTCTGCTGTGTCTCTTGCTCTAAGAGCATCTTCACTGTACTTGATGCCCTCAAATGCTGGACTGGTATTAGGGGTTACTGAGAACCCTCTGGGAATCATGAATTCTGCCTAAAGCAGGTCTAAGCTTCACTTTGGCTTTTAGTCAATCTTGCAAATTCCAACAATCCCCTCAGAGACAACTGGTTCCCAAGACCCACTGAATAAGGATTTGGCTCAAGTGTGGGGAGAACCATCCGGGGCAGCCAGGGCTTTCTCTCTCTGACCCGTCACCCTGGGAGCTCTCTGGGCATCTCTAAAACTACCATACTATAAAACAAAGAGAGGCGAATGATATGGATCTGCCAAACTGAACCTGGCTATTTGTCTGTACTTGCTCAGCACAAGACCCAGCATAGGCCTCCCTCTCTTCTGCCCAAAGGACACTAACGTGCCAGAGTTCTGTCTTCTGTAGATGCATTTATGTCTTTTGCTGGTGGAAAACTGCTCATCGCGGGAGAAAATGCAACAGCACACATTTTCGCAACATACCCAGCTCCGTATCTGTCTCTGGCGAATGCGTTTGCAGAACAAGTAAGTGTATATGCAACAAAGACCCAACTTCAGTGAAAAGACATAATCTAATAAGGAGGAGGAATAGGAACATTACAGGCCTATCAGAAAGGAAAGTCTGTGTTTCCAAAGTTGGAGGTCCCTAAGCATAACCCTAGCTTTGCTGACAAATTCTTGCACTTGCCAAAGTTGAATCACTAAGAGTTTCCTGCTTCCTCTTTAAAAAGTACACTTGTTTCACATCAGCTGAAATTCAGAGAAAAGTGGAGGAGTGGACATTTCAACCCCAGTAGGGGCAAATGGGGTTTGCTTTGCAAAACTGTCTCATTTGTTCACATCATGTAAATGTAGAGATCTGGAGAAAAGACGTTTTGTTCTCAGTTCAAGAACTGTGAAGTGTGGTAGGCGAGCTGAGGGTCCTTGGTGTCTCCCCATGTGTATAGGTTTATCTAGACTCTCCAGGCAGCTAGAAGTGTCTCTCCTTATTGACATTTAAACAAGGGGCATCCAAGCATTTGTCATGTAGCCAAGAGCACAACTATTCTGGTCTTAAATCAGTTGTCTCAGTCTCATCCTGATTCTTCTGCTTAGGAGCTCTGTGCCCTTGGGCAAGTTTCTTAACCTCTTTCAATCCTCCTTTTCTCATCTGTAAATTGTGAATAAATAGGATTTATCTCAGATTAGTGTGAGGTTCTAATGAGAAAAAGCAATGAAGTACCTGGCACATAATAAGTATCTGGTAGATAGTGGCTGTCATTTCGTTGTTAAAGTAAAATAGTAATACGATTTCCAGATAATAGTTTAGAAATTTTAGAAAGTAGAGACTGGGGGAAACACCCTCTATACCACACCACTTCAAAATACCTGCTACCATTGTTTGTATAATCCCTTACAACTTGTCTTTTATGTTATTTTCAAGTATAAAATGTAGTGCACATATAATTTTTTACCTGCCATAAGTATTTTTAAATTTTACCACATGTGGAAAAAAAAAATTTTTACCACATGTGTGTGCTTACTCACTCAGTCGTGTCTGACTTTTGTGACCCCATAAACTGTAGCCCGCCAGGCTCCTCTGTCCACGGGGGTTCTCCAAGGCAAGGGTACAGGAGTGGGTTGTCATTTCCTTCTCCAGTGGATCTTCCTGACCCAGGAATCAAACCGGGGTCTCCTTCACTGCAGGCGAATTCTTTACCAACTGAGCCACGAGGGAAGCCTCTGATTTTTTAAAAAATGTTACCACATAGTTTTTGTTTTCTAATTTTTTAAAAAAAAACCATACCTGTTTATTTTCATGTTAACCTAGAAAAATATTTCATGTTAATGTGTGATTTAATCATCACATTGTACACACAGATTTCATATTTATTGTTTTTAGTGGCTGTATAATAGACTATAGAATGGGCACTACACAATTGCTTTTGCCCTGTTGATGTGGAATCCAGTTTTCCAGTACTATAAATAATGCTTAATTATGTATTTGCATACTCATTTTATGATTTTTCCATATTTTAGATTATTTCCAAGGTGTAGTTCTCAAGTATCCAACTGGGTCCAATTGAGTACACACGTTTATGGGCTTTTTAAAATACATATTGCTAAATCATTGCTACATTGCCTTTCAAAAGCATAAAACATGATTAGTTCAACCAGGAAAGCCTGAGAGGACTGATATCATTTCCCTAACATTTAGTATTGCTTGCATTTTTTTCATTACCAATCAGTTTTCCGCACTTATTTGTTTTTCAAATCTATTTTTCTTTTATGAGCTGTCTTTTCATTTCCTTTGCCCATGTATCTATTGACGTCTCACACCATTTTTCTCACCAATTTGAATGAGCCCCTTTGTTGCAGCTTGCCCTCTATTTATCTGGTAGTAGCTTAGCAGGTCAGTGTAGTTGAGATACAGTCTCTAGAGTTAAACTCTCTGCATCCACAGCTGATTGCCACTGACTGTGTTACCTAGGTCAGGTAACCAGTCTGTAAAGGAGAGAGATGTGAGCACCCACGTCTAGGACTGCTATGAGAAGAAAAGGCTCTGACACGGTGCTCAGCCAGTGTATGTTGCTTTTTACTAGGTTGGTTTTTAACAATAGGGGGTGCATTTTGAGGTGGGCCAGTGGGAAGAATATAAGCTGAACCCCTCGTACATTTTCTCCTTACCCAGGTAGTGGCCACCACGCTCCTCCTCATTGTCATCTTTGCCATTTTTGACTCAAGAAACTTGGGAGTCCCCAGAGGTCTAGAGCCTGTGATCATTGGCCTCCTGATTGTCACCATCGCCGCCTCTCTGGGAATGAACAGTGGCTGTGCCATGAACCCGGCTCGAGACCTGAGTCCCAGACTCTTCACTGCTTTGGCAGGTTGGGGGTTTGAGGTGTTCACGTAAGTAACAAAATGATCGGGGAAGCAGGAGGAAGATTCCTGCTGCGCCTCAATGGGGAAGGCTCGGCTCCGACCTGGAGATCCAAGAGAGCGCAGATGGGAGGGTGAGGGGAAGAACACCCTCGTCGTAAGTGTGGAACGTATCGCTGGTGGTTTATGATGTATGTGTGCGAAAGACAGAGAGAGAAGGGGGAGGGAGACAGAGAGGAATCACTGACACTATTCTAGTCACCACTACTGGCAGCACTGGAGCCACTACGGAGTAAGCATTGTGAGGACAGGGACCTCAACTGTGTTTTCACTGCTCTGTCTGCAGTGACTGAAACAGGGTCGAGCACATAGAAAGCCTCAATGAAAGCTATTGAATAAAAGAGTGGATAAATGCTCTGTGCCACATATGTTCTAGGAGATGAAGGATACGAAAAGAATCAAGCATCATTCCTTGTCTTTTTTGTTTCTTTTGTTGTGTCGGGTCTTCGTTGCGGCACACGGGATTTTCCCCATGTCATGCAGAACCTTTTGTTACAGTGCACAGACTCTCTCCAGTTGTGGTATGCAGGCATAGTTGCTCCATGGCATGTGGGATCTTAGTTCCCTGACCGGGGATTGAACACAAGACCCCTGCATCACCAGGCAGATTCTTAACCACTGGACCACCAGGAAAGTCCCCAACATACCCTATCTTTAAGGAACAAACAATACAATGAATTTTCTAGAGCAGTGGTTCTCAGCCAGTGGCAATTTTGCCCCCAAGGATGTTTGGCAATGCATGGTGACACTTTGGGTTGTCACAGCTGGGCATGGTGGGGGCAGAACTTGTCACCAGTATCTAGTGGATAGAGTCCAATGTGGGATACTGCTAAGCATCTTACAGTACCCAGGACAGATCTCCACAACTAAGAATTATTCAGCCAAAAATGCTAAGAGTACCACAGCTGAGGAGCTCTGTTCCAGAAAGACCATACTAGAACATGAAAAGGTGGAACAAAATGTTCACAGCTAGGATGGATCCTTTGTATTCTTCCAATGGACCACTGAGAACATATGTTAAAGGTCTCCTTATTTCCAAAGACCAGAATTAACCCATGAGTTTCCTTTAATTCCAATTTCCTGAGGTTCACTCCAGGAGACCACTGTCCTCACCTCACCACCAAGACACCTCTGTGAGCTTCACACAGACCCCTAAAACAAAGACACACCAGAGTGATCTGGCCTCACTTTGAACCTTGCTTGGTGATTCACCCAAAGCTCTAAGAGTGATGGTAGTTCTAAAACAGGTCTTGCCTGTTCTCTTTGCTTTGTTGAGTATATGGCAGGAGCCCACATCTGTGATGTTGAAATCACCTAATGCCAAACTCTGAGCACCGCATCCCTTATTAGGATCAGGATTTTTCCCCTCATGCATGCATTCATTCATCCATGCAGCTTCCTAATCCCTTATTCAAGGCCCAGTGCTAAAGATGCCCTTTACTGCTTTGTTTATGTTCTGTTTCAGAGGGTGAGCATAGGCTCTTACACAGGTTGAAGCTGTCAAATGACTAACCCCAGGAGTTGGGAGAAGATTTGCAGCTCCAAATTTAGGAACTATGGGAGTGAAAGTAGGGTTGTTTTATAGTATTTGGACATGTTCAATCAGAGACAGAGAGGCTATTTCAAGCAGAGAGGCATCTGTATCTAAAGACAGTATATTAAAATGACACATGATCTAGTCTAGTTGGAAGGCTGTATGAAGAAACTTGGAAGAGCAATTGTTTCAGATCATAGAGGACTAGATTTCTAGAACAAGACTCTGGGATTTTTGTTGCTCTCTTTTCTATAGACTACAGGGAGCAGCAAAGGATTTAGGGTAAAAGTTTGATGTGTTTAGGACTTCAATTTACCAAAAATTAATCTGACATTATTATATAAAAGAAATTAAAAAGGAGTAGAAGGGGCAGATACCAGTTATGAAATAGCTAGGCTGGCTGATAATCCTCTACCAAAGGTTCAAAAGAAAACCTTTGAGTGGTAATAGGACTCCAAAGGGTCTCTAGAGTTCCATTCTTTCAGGGTTTTCCACCCAAGACAAGCATCTCAGAAGATTTCCTAGTTTGAATCCACATCCAGGATCTCAGATGAAACCTAGACTGCCTTATTCTCAGACCCTCATTTGCCCCTATATGGCAAGAAGTGAGGATGACAGGGAAGTAGGTTCCCGAGAGTCTGACAAGGGCAAGACAGACCCTATCTGACTCTTGCTTCCCCTTAAGTATTAGGATGTAAAAGGGCTTCTCTGATGGCTCCAAAGGTAAAGAACCTGCCTGCAATGAGGGAGACCGAGGTTCCATCCCTGGGTTGGGAAGATCCCCTGGAGAAAGGAATGGCTACCCACGCCAGTATTCTTGGGCTTCCCTGGTGGCTTAGATGGTAAGGAATCTGCCTGCAATGCAGGAGACCTGGGTTTGATCCCTGGGTCAGCAGGATGCCCTGGAGAAGGAAATGGGAACACACTCCAGTATTCTTGCCTGGAGAATCCCATGGACAGAGGAGCCTAGTGGGCTACAGTCCATGGGGTTGCAAAGAGTCAGACATGACTGAGCGACTAAAACACACACACACATTAGGATGTAAGCAAGTGGTCTTCACTAATTCACATTAAAGTGTTAATAGCTTAATAGCTAAGGATCTCAGGGGTGTTGTTAATTTTTAAAATAACTAAGCCAAAGAAATGAATCCTTGATGATAGTACCCTGCTATGCAACTGACACACTTTTATGGTATCCCCCCCAAATCACAGCACACCAATAACCTTGTTTACCTGTAAGGCCAGGCAGGAAGCCACATCAAATCTCCTCCATTTAAGCCTTGTGACCTTAGCACAAAATATCCAGCTCAAGAGGGTCCAGACAGTGAAAGGAGGACATGCATGCTGGCAGGTATCTTAGCCCCTAATCTGTTAAATGACAGTGAAAGATTCACCACAAATCAGTGCTAGAAAAAAAAGGAAGTGATGGACCAAATGAGGTGGTTAAATTCACTTCATGTGCTGAAGAGAGTTTCCCCAGTGGCTCAGTGGTAAAGAATCCACCTGCCAAGCAGGAGATGTGAGTTCAATCCCTGGGTCAGGAAGATCCCCTGGAGAAGGTAATTGCAACCCACTCCAGTATTCTTGCCTGGGAAATCCCATGGACAGAGGAGGCTGGTGGGATATAGCCCAGGGGGGTCGCAGAGTTGGCCACGATTAATTAAACAGCAGCAGTATGTGCTGAAGAGAAGGTGCCTCTCACAGAAAATTCTTTTCATAGAAAATCTGGAGGCATGGGATAAGGTTCTGTGAGAAGAGTGGAGTGCAACGTCCTCTTTCCTGCACAGTAAGAGTGCCATCTGGTGGCCACTGTGCCTAATCTCAGTGCTCTTCCCTGGAACCTGCATTGATGATCTAAGATTCAGGATCTAAGAGAGTGCTTGCATGATCCGGGTGGAAAGGACCACGGTATAGATGGAAGTGTGAAGCTCAGAGATGGGGAGACTTGCTCAAAGACCTTCTGTAGTCCTGAGGTCCCAGGTGGCTCAGTGGTAAAGAACCTGTCTGCCAATGCAGGAGACATGGGAGACTTGGTTTCGATGCTTGGGTTGGGAAGATCCTCTGGAGGAGGAAATGGCAGCCCAGTCCACTGGAGTAGAGAATCCCATGGACAGAGGAGCCTGGCGGCTACCATCTATAGAATCATAAAGAGTCAGACACAACTGAGTGCGTGTGCACACACACACACACACACACACATGCACAGAGCAATGTGCTAAGTGCTCTAAACCCAGGACACTCCTGAGATTAGAACTAGGTCTCATGGATTCTAGAATAGGCCCCCCTTTATTATTTTTAAAGTAATTTTATTAAAATATTATATTAAATATTATAATATTTCCTTTATTATTCTTTCTAATAAAAGTTCAACCCTAACAGTTCCATGGAAATATGTATAGTTATTAAAAATGAAATTGTAAATAGCAGCCATGAATATGTCCCCCAAATAAAACACTGAAATTCCTATGCAGAGTTGTGTTCCTTTCGTTTCCTCTGTCTCCTCTGCATTACCCTCAACTTTTTGTTCATAATTATCCTTCTTTTAAAAAGTTTCATCTCAAATGCACACATCCTTAAACAACTACACAACTATACTGTATAGTTTTACCTGCTTCAGAGCACTCATGGTCCTTTCTACTGAATTATCTAAATGGATTTTCTGTCCCCAAAAGAGATGGTGACAATTCACAGAGACACCTGAGTTCTCCCAGAACTGTACCTCCAATATAATGTATTGACACTGAGAACTTCTGGAGGGGAGAGAGAATCCTTATCAGAAAATACATTTGAGAAAGCTGTGACCTCAAAATATAAGTATGGAATTAAATTATATTTAGTATTTAATTCATATATCTACCTTTGAATTTTTAATTCATTCACTGACAAATGTTTCCTGATTATTTATCTTGTGATTGCCCTCATTCACCAATCATGTCCAGGAATCTCTCCACATCTCCCTTCCATTCACAATCCCCAGGATGCGCCACTTCAGTATGAGGGAAAGGCAACTCCTGAATAATCGACCTGAACTTACCCTGAAGTGAAAAAGTGAAGTCGCTCAGTCGTGTCCGACTCTTTACGACCCCATGGACTGTAGCCTACCAGGATCCTCAGTTCATGGGATTTTCCAGGCAAGAATACTGGAGTGGGCTGCCATTTCCTTCTCCAGGGGATCTTCCCAGTCCAGGGATCGAACCCTGGTCTCCCACATTGCAGGCAGACGCTTTACCATCTGAGCTACCAGGGAAGTCCATTAATGTGGTGAACTTGCCCTAGATGCCCTCTATTGTTGCCATGGGTTCAGGGACTATGTTTTCTGAAAAGAAAATAAATGGGACATTTCTCTCACAGGTACTAATAGAACAATGGAATTGGTCAACTGAAATCAGTATCCTGCAAAATAGTACCTTTAAGCAATTAACACAGACATTTTTCTGGCATCCCCTCAGTCATAGGATGCAAATGACCTTGCTTACCAGTAAGGTCAGGCAGGGAACCTGCTCCTCCCTTTAAGCCTGGCACAACACATCCAACTCAAGGGGGTCCAGCCAGTGAAAGGATACCGGTCACCAAGCTACCATGAGTGCCATTCTACTTAGCTCCAGCTGATTTAAAAAGGAGCCATGAGCAGGAGCACAACTAGCTGGTTAGTGAGTAACTAGCAGTGATACCAGAGGAAGGCCAAGTGATGTATCACTAATTGCTTTGTTTGCTTTCAGAGTTGGGAATAACTTCTGGTGGATTCCTGTAGTGGGCCCTTTGGTTGGTGCTGCTCTTGGAGGCCTCATCTATTTTCTTCTCATTGAAATCCACCACCCAGATCTGACCCCAGACTTGGAGACAGAACAACCGGAGGACAAACCAGAGAAATATGAACTGAATGCAATCATGTAATAGCATGCTCAGGTCTTGGTTTACAGTTGGCTACCTACTGGGCTTTACCTTTCACAAAGCATCTTCACACACATTATCTAATTGAATCCTCCTAGTGACCATCTGGGGTAAATATCAAGCTGCTCATCTTTCAAATTAGAAAACAAAACCTTAGGAAAGTTGAATTGCCTAAGGTCCCATGGAAAGTTGAACATCATCGAATGCATCCTACACATATCAAATTAAGAACTGCACAAAAAGTTTGACCAGCCCCTCTTGGCTCACCAGAAGAGGGATTGGCAGCTGCCAGAATTTGTACACAGCCTGGGAAACATTCTTCTGGATCCTAAGTTATAACACTGCCATCGTCTGATTTTATTCCCAGAATCACTACAAAAGGAAGAGGTAGCCCATATTTTTCATCTGCTGAAGAACATTATCAGAGGTGATTAAGGGTGACCATCCCAGCATTGTACATTCCAGGAATTTCCTCTTGGTCAGGCTCCTCCCTGTCACTTTAGTCAAGAGTCAGTGAATTAGGGAACTCTGCTCAATGTTATGAGGCAGTCTGGATGAGAGGGAGTTTGGGGGAGAATGGGTACACATGTGTGGCTGAGTCCCTTTGCTGTCCACCTGAAACGAAACTCTATCACTGCACTGTCAATCAACCATACTCCAATATAAAATTAAAAGTGTAAAAATTAAAAGGTAAAAAGTCTCTGTGAATTACAAGCATGAGAAATTGTTCTACATCAGTGATGTGCTTTAACTGTTACAAAGCTCAGAATTCCCAGACTATCCAGTTTCTCAACTGTTTTGTAATGATAACAGAACAACCAAAAGCACATGTGAAATGTCTCCAGGGACCTTTAATAGACAGTAATAGACTGACAGATGGAATTTCTTCTTGCTCTGAAAATACTGGCATTTCCTATTTGAAATAAATTTGGAGTGACGTGTTTGTTTGGAGTTTTTATGAGTAATAAGATTGCTAAGTACACTTAGTTTAGAGGTTGTCTGTCCTATCTACAAATTAAGATCTCTGGGGAACTTCTAGAAAAACAACTTGGTAAACATCTTGGGTGATTCTAAATGGGTGTAGCCAGTGTTGAGAACATTGACTTGGTTAAAGTACATGGGTTTCCTTGAGAAACACGCCTAGTGGTGACCAAGTAATTCCTGGCAGGATTCTCAGACTTGGGGTCCTCAGGGGTTAGAGGGAAGTGGCTCTCAGAAGGGGACAGTTTACTCCTCCTCACTCTCACCTATCACCCCCGCAAGGGGACATTTGGCCACATCTGGGGACAGTCTTGGCTGTCACAGCTGGGGTAGGAGTGTTATTGGCATCTAGTGGGTAGAAGTCAGAGATGCTGCTGAACTTCCTACCACACACAGGATAGCCCTCCCTGCAGCACCCATTCATAGCCAGATGTCTTCAGTGCGAAGGTTGAGAGACCCTAGATTCAAGAACAGACAGGCACGTAAAAGAAGACACCGAAGTCCTTGTGCCTTGATCCCAGTTCTGTCAAAAACAGAGATGCCAGATGAGTCAGAACCAGACCCCGTGGGTACATTATACTTCTTACCCCAAATCAAGAGGTGACCCCAAATTTGAGTTTCCAGGTTGGACAGTAGAATCTATGACCCCACAGGTGCTCATTAAACACTGCTTGGTGATTAATGACTGGAATTATGAAGAGAAAATGTGTGCTTATGGAAATCAACCCCAGAAAGGTTTTTTTATTTATGGAAAAAAGAAGTTCTCTTGTTCCAGGTGCGTGCATTCAAATCCTCTGTCTTTTCCAGTTTACAAATGGGTTTGCCTGGGTCAGGTACTTATCCAAGAGAATATCCATGTTTCAGAAGTCAGTAAGAGCCAAATACCTGCCTTTAAAAAACAGATTCTTAGGACTTCATTGGCTGTCCAGTGGTTAAGACTTTGCCCTCCAATGTAGGGGTTCCATCCCTCATCAGGGACCTAAGATCCCACAAGCCTCTTGGCCAAAAAACTGGAACATAAAACAGAAACAATTTTGTAACAAATGCAGTAAAGACTTAAAAAAAAAAATAGAAAGGCCCATCATAACATCTAGCAACAAAAAATATTTTTTTTTTTAAAAAGAGGAAGTCAGGGAGATGCCCTAATTTTTATCCCATGGCAAGGAAAGAGTAGGGCAGCACACACACACACACAAATTAGAGGCAGCAATAGACACAAATAAAGCTGGCTTCCTGAATATACCTGGTGAGTTCTGCTTATTTAATATATGTTCCCTTACTTAGTCTGTTGCTGCCCAAGTAAGTGATGGCATTCGATGAGCAATTATTATCATCCAANTCTCCACACTGTTCTCCATAGCGGCTGTACTAGTTTGCATTCCCACCAACAGTGTAAGAGGGTTCCCTTTTCTCCACACCCTCTCCAGCATTTATTGCTTGTAGACTTTTGGACAGCAGCCATCCTGACTGAACAGCCAGAGCTAATACTCAGCTGTTGAAAGAAATAAATGGAGTAAAAGCATCATATTTAAAAACCCAATCTTTAAAAATAAAGTATTATTACTTTTAAATTGCTTATACACACACACTTGCATTTTTTTAAAAGTATGTCAGTGCCCAAAAATGTTGTCATGGATAAAGAATTACAGCTTCTTGTTATAGAGAATGGTTCACAAGTTTTATTTAGCCACAGAAGAACCTATTGTTCAAATAAAATCTTAATGTGGTATCCAAAAGCTAACGAGAGCTGCTATAAATAGAAAGAGGTCTGGGGCGAGGAAGTAAGTTTCATCCTGCCTGTGATACCTTACTCCCCTAGTGCAGCCACTGAGGGGTGTCTGGAAAGAAATCCTGTCTATGCGGTGGGGGATCTTCAGAACACAAGTTGGAGACCACTGATAAGAGTTTGGGACAAGCTGTTGCTAAACATTTTTATAAAAGTTTCCAGTATAGAACCTAGCAAAGGCCATGTTAATTCAATCTCAGGCAATTTGTCAAAGATGTCTTAATAAACAAACTTAAGTTAAATGGAATTAACCTACATCACCCACAAAAAGATGTTATATGTCAAGTTGTATATAACTTCTCAAACTGAGAATTTATGTTTTCTGAGATAACATGTTTATTTATCACAGCGTGTGGAGAGAAACCATGGTAGTCCTGACCAGGCTTATTGGCTCTCTAAGTCTCTATACAAATAAATTGGTACATAATTGATGATAGATAAATGATATATAGATGGATAGACAGGAAGACAAGTAGATAGGTAAGTAGATAGACTGATCCACCAAGCCCCAATCTCTTTCCTGTTGCTGGAAACACAGTAGCTCTTATTAAGAGAAGTAGTCTGGAGGCTAATAAAAGAAGGCCCCCATAAAAGTGAACATGAATAATTGAACTGAATTAAATGAGAGAATTCATGGAACTGTGTGAGGATGCACATGGCATCCAAGCAGAGTCTGACACCCCATGGATACATTATGTCTTTGGGGGACTTTAGGAATGTTTGCCTTTGTGGACAGAAATTTATTTGCTTAAATAATGTTTTATGATAGCACTGGTAGCAAACGTTTTCATGTCATGTTAGAAGACACTAAAACATTTTCCTGGGTTACTAAAAGCATCCTGGGCTCTAGCATGCCCCCTGGTGCCTCAGAGCCTGGACATACTGCAGCCTCTTCCTCCTGCATGGGTGCCAAGTTGCTTCAGTCATGTTCAGCTCTTTGCAACCCCATGGACTACAGCCCGCCAGGCTCCTCTGTCCTTGGAATTCTCCAGGCAAGAATAATGGAGTGGGTTGCCATTTTCTTCTCCAGGGGATCTTCCCGACCCAGAGACTGAACCCACATCTCTTAGGTCTCCTGCGTTGGCTGGTGATTTCTTTACCACTAGTGCCACATGGGAAGCACTTAAAATGTGTTCAGTCGTGCCCAACTCTCTGAGGCTCCATGGACCATAGCCCACCAGGCAAATTTTCTTGCCTGGATAATTTTATTTTTTGAAGCAAATCCCAGACATGAAATATAATGGTATTCATGGATATTTAATATGTATATCTAAAAGATAAGGATTCTCTTAAAAAAACAAAATACCATTATCACACAAGAATAATTATCAATAATTTCTTAATATCATCAAATATCCATTCATACTTCACATTTCTAGTGAGACTTTCCTTCAACTCCAGTTAATAACAATGTGGAATCTGAGAAGACTGAAAACAAGGGATTTACTCTGATATTTCAAAGAGACATGGGGATTTTGTAGAACAAGTTTATCTCAGTTCTGTACCCTTGTATCAGAGCCTTCTTTAAGCTTTTCACAAAATATTTACATTTTTATACCAAAAGGAAAATGCATTTGCCTACTATTAAAAGTTGCCATCTGCCAGGAGTGAAATTATTTTCAGAAAGAGAGGAAGTCTTGAATTTACCTGGATTTTAGAAAATATCTTTAGTGACCATTGTTACACCAAAAAAGACATACTCCATAGAATGCTTACACTTTAAAAGCTGAAACACACTGTGAAAAGACATCCAAATATTTAACATCTATGCAGCCCTATGCGAGGGAATCACTGTAACAGACTAAGGTAAGTGAAAACTTAAAAATTCCTAAGCTGCTCCACTTGGAGTAGTGGTGTTTGATGCTTCCTATTTATTGTTTGTTTATACTTTTTGCTCAATGACTTCAGACCTTTGAAGATAAAAGCTAATAAAAAGTGGCACAATACTCCCCAACTTTTGTGTAAAGGAAATTACCTGTACCAAAGGAGATCTTCATGGCTCTCAGCTGGCAGATCTCATCTGGTGATACACTGAGAATTGGATTCTATTTTAATAGATGATGGGCTTCTCTTGTCACTCAGGTGGTAAAGAATCCGCCTGCAATGTGGGAGACCTGGGTTCGATCCCAGGGTTGGGAAGATCCCCTGGAGAAGGGAACGGCTACCCACACTAGTATTCTGACCTGGAGAATTCCATGGTCTGTATAGTCCACCGGATCGCAAAGAGTCGGACACAACTAAGCAACTTTCACTCACTTAATAGATGATATAATTATAGCCAAAAAGACCTCTGCGGATCAAGGAGAAAAGAAGACCATGCACTGTAGAAGGCCATCTAGGAGCCTGTTCTTAGCCTGGAGTCAAGAGCAGGGAGTAGAGGTTCTGGGACTGAACCACTGACCTTTGGAACAATACCATGAAGGGAGTCTGTGCAATCACAGGCTGGTGACTCGTTCTCAAGAGGCCAGGCTCTATAGATAACCAGGTTAAACTCCACTGCAGAATAGCTATGTGAGTCTCTAAACCTCAGCCTCTTTGTCCATAAAATAGGAACGATACTAGCACTTGCTTTCTATGTATTGTTGAAAGTACTAAGAAAATGCCTGTGAAACATTTTAACAGAGCCTAGAATTTACTTTCTTCTTCATAAGTGTCAGCTAATTCTATTATTATTTCACATTTACAAATTCAGCTGTATATCTGCTTTCTTAAGTTGTCTTAGTTGTGTCCAACTCTTTGCAACCCTATGGAGTATAGCCCACCAGGCTCCTTTGTCCATGGGATTCTCCAGACAAGAACACTGGAGTGGGTTGCCATGTCTTTCTCCAGAGGATTTTACCAACCCAGGGATCCAACCTACATCTCTTATGTCTCCTGCATTGGCAGGCAGGATTTTTACCACTAGTACCACCTAGGAAGTCCCATTAAAAAGGCCGATGAAGAAAAATCTCCAGGAGTATAAATTTGCTGACAAATAATCCAAGTCATGTGACTGACTTAGATATGACAGTTCTTTTCATATACTCGGGTGCAAGCAACTTGCACAGGGCCATGCTTAGTTCATGAATTACAGAGCTTAGATCCAATTAAGAAGCTAACCAAATCACTTAGTTGCCTAATCGAGCTACCAAATTTATAAGAAAATCTATCAAAATAAAAATGATTTACATATTTAA